TATATGTATATATATATATACTACATATATATACATATATATATGGATATATATATACACACACAACTTTTTTTACTAGCTCATCAGTGAGATACTTGTATTGATGTAGCATTTCATTCCAGTGCAAGTCCAAACATGTAGTGTACTTGACTTGTATGAAACAATGCCTACATAAAGCTATGAATACAGACTTCTTGGAAAGTTTTAAGGAAGATCATTATAAATGCATGCAAATAATGAAGGTTGTAGAGTAGCCTATTTCAGAGAAGAATAGAGCTGTTGATGGACTGCAATGCATGAACTGACTTGCTTGCGTCATTTAAAATGTTACTATCAAACTGATTTCATTCATTCATTCATTCATTCATTCAAATATTCGGTTTACACAGTAAATGCCCTTCCAACTGCAACCCAGTACTGGGAAATACCCATACACACTCATTCACACGCACACACTCATACACTACAGCCAATTTAGTTAATCAATTCCCCTATAGCCATGTGTTTAGACTGTGGGGGAAACCGGAGTACCTGTAGGAAACCCACGCCAACACGGGGAGAACATGCAAACTCCACACAGAAATGCAAACTGACCCCGCCGGGATTCGAATCAGAGACCCTCTGGCTGTAAGGCCACAGTGTTAACCACTGAGCCACCATGCCACCTTCAAAAATTGCATGACTTCCTTGGGGAAGATGTAATTTAGTAAACCTATATCTCTCATCTCTTTTTTTCTTTTAGCAGGAAGTCTTATTGAGTCAAATGATCGGCTGGATAACCGGCATGCAGATTAACACATTGGATTAGGAAAACAGACACTGGTGAAATAAATTCATGTTTGCTGCTAATGCCAACAATATGTCACCACTGCATTCTATTCAGGCCATCAAAGCTATTTTTATCCTATTATAGGCACTCATTTCCAGACACAGAATGAGTCTGCTAAAGGAAATAAAATCAAAGTGTTTTATGATTAATACCAATTATGCTGCTTATGCACTATCATGCTGCATTATGCCGTTTATCAATGGCACATTTACAAAATCGCTTCACATCGTGTAGGAGGCGTATAGATGAAATTAAACAGGCTCCTATTTCATGTGGTAAGTGCAAAAAAAATTAAGCTTTTTTTTTTTTTTTTTTACACTGTTTATTGTAATAGATTTTAAAAAAAGGGTTATGGAGAGTGATTAAGCAGTATATAGGCGATAATAAGACCTGATTCATTTAATTTTAATTTAAAATAACCCTATAAACACATGTGTGTATTTGTTATTGTTATTTGCTGTTGTATTGTACTTGAAAATTGAAAATAAACAATAAAAAATAACCAGAACAAAGAGCTTACAATGACCAAGAGGCGACACTTAATAGAATGTTCCATTGCAACAGCAGCGCCCAGCAACAGCCCCGGGATCCGCCCTTTTGGAGTGAAAGCGATCGGCTGTCCGTTCTTATTTCTGTCGCAATGGCAAGCAGCTGCTTTGTTTTTTATTTATTTTTTTTATTTTTAGCGCATAAAAGCTGAGATACAACCTGAAAGACGACAATACAACACTTACAATTACAATCATCAGCACTTTTAATAGTTTATTTTACAGACTTATATGCATGCATTTCTATAGGAATTTTCTATCCAAAATGGCCGCCGCGCCATCTAGTGGATGTTTCCTAAATCGCAGTAGAGTGCCGCCTCTTGGCGATTCTATGCTTTTTGACCAGAAACTGTGCTTTATATATAATATATATATAAATATAATGTAGAAATTAAATAAACACACACAGCCTAAACAATAAGTAAATAAATAAAAAATAAAATAAAAAATAAAATAACAAAATAAAATTAAAACACGTAAATAAATAAATAAATAAATATATAACCAGAAGCTGTGCTTAAATATAGTATATATTAAATAA